TGCCTCGACGTGGACGAGACAGAGCCCGTGCCGTGGGGAGAGGACAGGACGTGCGGCTGAGTGAACGGGGGTTCCACAGGCAGCGTCACCGTCAAGCCCCGTGCAGACACTGCAGGCTGCAGCCCGGGCCTGGTGACGCATTTGGCGCAGACAAAAAAAAAACCTAAAATGCCTGAATTTCTTAATTTGTAAAAAGCAGAAATAATTCCTCCGCTTCTAGTGTAGAGGGTTGTGCCGAGATCCCTCTAGGGTGTAGGGTTGCAGTGGGATCCGTCTAGGGTGGGTGGTGGCGGGACCTCCCTACAGTGGAGGGTCCCAGTGAGACCCCAGTGGGGTCCAGGACATTCTGTGTCCCCTCTGCGTCGCTCTGCCAGTGTCGTTTAAGAAGGTAGAGACGTGGCCATGAGCTATCTTACATAAACGTTTATGAGGACAGAGATTTCAACACTGAATACATAAGAAAGTCAGGTTTTCCTTCAAAGCTGGGAAATGGGCCCATCAGTCTTCTTCAGGGCAGAGTCTTTATTGCTGTTGAGGTGGAGGGTACACATGGCGAGATGCGCAGATCGCAGGTGGACATGACGATGCGCTGGACACGTGCGCATGGAATCAGCGGCCACGCTGCAAGGCACACCCTCACACCCAATGCTTCCTCCTGCCCCAGCCCCTCCTGCAGGTGACGCGGCTCTGGTTGCGCTGGGCAGACCTTGCCCATCCTTGAATTTCATCTTCCGTTAACAGGATTCGGTGGATTCTCTGGTGACCGGCTTCTCTCACTCAGCCTGACTGGTTCTAGGTCTGTCCCCCTTTTTCTTGTCTCTGTGGTTCCTTCTGGCTCAGTGCTGGTGTGGTTGTGGCCTCCTCATCCGCTCTCCTGTTGCCGGGCACGTGGACTTTAGACTCTGTCTGTGGAACTATTAGGAGTCAGGCTGCTACCCCTAGTCTCGTTTGACTCTTGTGGTCATGGGTTTCACTTCTCTTGGGTAAATACTTACAAGTCCAATTTCTGGGTAACACGGAAGATGTCCTTTTGGAAAAGACTTTACTTTCTCTGTTGAAACGTCCTGGTGCCTTTGTTGGAAACAGTCTCCTTGGAGTTGTCATCGTGCCACTTCCTGGACGTGGTGAGTCGGAGGCTCCAGGTCCCTCTAGCCTCTTGCGCCATCCAGGTCACACCTGCAGCTGTTTTATGAACCCTACCTTAAAGTGGTAATAAATTTTCCTTACTAACAATCAGTTGTTTTTTAGATACAGTAAGAGGAGAAAAGAAGGCGGTCTTTCTTGTTTATGTAACCACATATTTACCCTTTCGGAGCTTTTTGGCTTCTCCCGTAGCTCTGGGCTTCTGTCTGGTGTTTCTCTTCAGCCTTGGTTCCTCCCAGCACTTCCTGTGGTGTGGCCCCTGGGACCCACTGTCCCAGCTTTGTTCACGTACGTGATATGAAAATGTGTCTCCTCCGCCCTCTCATTGGAAGGATATTTTCATTGGATATAAACTCCTGGATCGAATGATTTTTCTTTCAACCCTTCAAATGTGGCATTCGTTATCTGTAACGTCAAATGCCTGACTATGCACGTTGTATCAAACACATTGTTCTTACAGGACACATGGTGTGTCTGGCGGCCTCTGAGCTCCAGGACCCTTTCCATTCTTGTGTGTGGAACGTGTCTTCCCCCCGCCCCGACCCCAGCTGCTTCCTAGGGATCTTCTCCACCTCTGGCTTTCAGCAGCTTGGCCAAAGTTACAGCGTGCTTATCCTTGCATTTTATTATCTTGGAACTGAGTGACTGTCTTGAGTCCCTGAGTGAATATTCTTCCCCAGATTTGAGAGACGCCTGGGCTTTCTTTCAGGTGTTTCTTGTCCCGTTCCCTCCGGACTCCAGCAATAGTGCAGCGGCTTGGCCTGCCCCAGGGGTTACTGAGGTTCCGCGGAACGTCTCCCATTCCGCTCTTCCAACGGTGATCAGTTCTATGATCTGTCCTCAGATTCACAAACCGTTTCTTCCGTTATGTCCTTCCGTAAGATTTTAAAGTTCGGACGCTCTGCTCTTCACTTACAGAATGTGTATCGGATTCTGTTTTAAGTTCCCCACTCTGCTGAGTCAGTGGGTGCACCCGTCTCGCCGTGGCTACAGCAGCTCCGCAAACTGCCTTATCTCCTCGCTCTATCATCGACTGCCCTATTCTCGATTTTCCATTCTGTTTTTCTGCCTCCTCCTGCATCTGTTGCTGCTTGTCTGAAGCGGGGGCCTAGACCCTGCTACCTTCCTTTAAGGGGCTTTTCCGGCAGCAGTCACATTCTTGGACGAGGCTTCGACCCTGTGTGCCTGTGTTTAGATGTCATCAGAGTTGGTTCATGCTAGTGGCGTTTCCTCTGAGGACATGGCCTCTGTGTTTTCACCTACACACAAGAGGGGCTCTGCCATGTCTCCACATGGCATGCAGGATTCCTGTTCCCCGCACCGTGCACTCTGCCACTGCCCAGCACTCAGCCTGGGGCGCCACTGTGGCCCTGTGTGCAGGACGCCCTTTGCAAAGACCGTCGACCAGGTGCTCCATCCCTCCATTCCAGTTGCCTCACCAGCCCTACCTTTGACCCCAGCGTCAGCCTGGGGGACTGTCTTGCACCTGCCCTTACACCTGTCCAGAAACCGTGAGTTGTGATGTGGATAAGTGCACAGCCCCTCCACTGTCTTCACTCGGTGATCTCTGCTGCTCTGCACGAGATGGCTGAGCCGCGTGGGAGCCAAGGGCCTGGGTTCCCTATCCCCCAGCACCCCTGCTTCCCCGGCCTCTCTGTCCCGGATCCCTGGGGGTGCCGGCCCTGTGACAGGCCCCCACCCTCCACCCCATCTTACTGGGCACTCATGGAGACCCAGCATTGGGGAGGAGCGCCCAGGTCAGGCACTGGGGGCAGGCACCCCCAGAGAGAATTTCTGTCGCTTCTTCTCTGATTATAAAAGTAATCACATTACTTTTATTTTACGTCATCATTATCATTATTTTACATTGTCATTATCAAGTGAACAAACAAGCAAAACACAGATGAACTGTACAGAGAGGGCCTGCGGTCGAGGCTGGTTTATGTGGGATGTAACCGGAGGCCCCCACCCACCTTCATCACAGCGAGGGGCTTGGTCTCCACCTGCACTATTGGGAGGGGTGGGGACATGTGGAGTGTAAGGGTGTGTGCGGGGGTCTCAGAAACAAGGATAGAGGGTGAGGGGCTTCCCACCTGTGTCACACTCAGCCTAGATCTTAAGGGTCTTTTTTTGGAAAATGGCGTCTTCGGATGAAGCACGTTTCCACTACGTTTAATCAATAGTCGCGGCTTTTGCCGTCACAGGAGGGTTTGTCTGACATCCTCATCTCCTGTCTCTACCCAGGTGACAGCCGGGGGCGTCCTTGCCACAGCTAGAGGCAGAGGCTCACTCCAGGGGCTCGGGATGGGCCATGCACTGTGGGCCCCGAGTTCCTCCCACTCAGGCGTTCCTGAGCCCCCACAGAGCAGGGGTTGCCCTGGCCCCCAAGCCACTATCATCTCTGTATTCTTGTTGTTAGCTAGACTTCCAGCAGAGGCTTGAGGGGCTGGCTTCGGAAGAAGGCTGCATCTGGCCTCCCGAGTTATCCATTCACTTACAAATGTATTTTCACACACAGCACATGGGCAGCTGGGGCCACCGTGTCGTGTTTAGGATGCGCTGGTGGCCAAAGTCTCTGGAGGCTTTTCTCTACTTGTTATAGCAGGAGAAAGTGTGGAATAACAATGGCTGCCCGCTCCTGTGGTGCTCTTCAGTACCAGGCAGGGTGTGCTGGGCAGGGTGTGCTGGGGGCAGTGTGGGGGGCAGGGTGTGCGGCCTGGGTGTGCTGGGGCAGGGTGTGTGGACAGGGTGTGCTGGGCAGGGTGTGCTGGGGCAGGGTGTGCGGCCTGGGTGTGCTGGGGCAGGGTGTGTGGACAGGGTGTGCTGGGCAGGGTGTGCTGGGGCAGGGTGTGCGGCCTGGGTGTGCTGGGCAGGGTGTGCTGGGGCAGGGTGTGCTGGGGCAGGGTGTGCGGCCTGGGTGTGCTGGGGCAGGGTGTGCGGCCTGGGTGTGCTGGGCAGGGTGTGCTGGGGCAGGGTGTGCTGGGGCAGGGTGTGCGGACAGGGTGTGCTGGGCAGGGTGTACTGGGGGCAGTGTGGGGGGCAGGGTGTGCAGCCTGGGTGTGCTGGGGCAGGGTGTGCTGGGGGCAGTGTGGGGGGCAGGGTGTGCGGCCGGGTGTGCGGCCTGGGTGTGCTGGGGCAGGGTGTGCGGACAGGGTGTGCTGGGCAGGGTGTGTTGGGAAGGGTGTGTTGGGAAGGGTGTGCCAGGCAGGGCAGGGTGTGTTGGGAAGGGCAGGGTGTGTTGGGAAGGGCAGGGTGTGCTGGGGCAGGGTGTGTTGGGAAGGGCAGGGTGTGTTGGGAAGGGCAGGGTGTGTTGGGAAGGGCAGGGTGTGCTGGGGCAGGGTGTGTTGGGAAGGGCAGGGTGTGCTGGGGCAGGGTGTGGGGGGCCGGGTGCGTTGGGCAGGGTGTGCTGGGCAGGGTGTGCTGGGCAGGGTGTGCTGGGCAGGGCGCTGTTCTTGCCAGGCATTGTTTCTCCTTCTGCCAAGTGAGGGGGACATGGCTCATTCCATTCTTTTATCATCTGGAGGACATGGTGAAGTTGCCCAGCCCGTCTCTCTTCCTGGCTTGGTCATTCCAGTGTTTTCCGGAAGTCGTGCTTTCCATCCTCTTGAGCGGGTGGATGAGTCTGTTCTTCCGTTCTATGGGCTTTCCACCTCCAGGGAACTGAACCAGTGATGGCCGCAGGGTCAGGTGGATTTGAGATTCAAGTCCAATATCCCAATATTCTCTGAGTGCCGGCCTGCACCTGGCCCTAGGTGGCCACTGCCTTGGGACGCCACAGATGCCGCCACACCCCTGCAGCCCGGAGGCCCTTTGCATTCGTCCACCCACCATGTCCTCGTGTTTGTGTGTGCCCCTAGGAGCACGGATTCACACTCTCCTGAAGGACCTGCAGAGGCAGCCGGCTGAGGCGAGGGGCCTGAGTGACCTGGAGCTGGACAGCATGGCCGAGCTGATGGCTGGCCTGATGCAAGGCATGGACCACAGAGGAGCTCTAGGCGGCCCTGGGAAAGCGGCCCTGGGAGAGTCTGGAGAACAGGCGGATGGCCCCAAGGCCGCCCTCCGTGGGGAAAGCTTTCCAGGTGACTCCAGCGCCATGGGTGCCCACGCCCAGGGGTGCTGCGGGGAGGGGAGGCCTCAGGGCTGTGCGGAGACCGCTGGCTCACCAAGTGCAATGTGGGCTTTCTGCTGGGGAGATGGGGATCTGTATTAATGATTTTTTATCTGTTTGAACTTTTGCCTCTAAAAGCTTTCTTAACAGACTAAGCCTACCAGAGCAATTATGTTGAACGGCAGATTGCTCTCTGTGAGGAGGTTTCACTCCTCCACGCTGAGGCTCAGAGTCAGGAAAACAGGCGTGATGAGAAGTGTTGTGTTTGGACTGTGTACCAGTGAATATTGTGAAATATTTAAATAGCAGAGTGAGAGGGGATCATTCAAATGTCTGTGCGTGTTGGTCCTCTGAGGCCGCTGGGGAGGCAGAAAGCAGCCCCCTGGCACCCCAACCCAGCAGCAGCCGGAGCCCTGTGGAGGCCCCGTGGGCCAGGTGGCACTTCTGCGGCCTGATGGCTTCTCGCAGCGTGGAGATGCAAGAAAGCGCCTAGCTCAGCTCCCCACACATGGCTGGCCCACGAGTACATGCCGAAAACCAAATGACAGACGTGCCCCTCTCTCCGCACGGGTGCAGGGGGTCCTGCTGGAAGCTGGAAGCCTGACTTGGCTGATGGGCAGGGTGCAGGGGAGGGTGGAACTGCACCCTGGTAGGGCCTGTGTTAGGCGGCGGCCCAGTGGTTGAAGGAATCAGGACCCGCACCAGGGCTAGGAGGGACGTAGGAGGCTCTGGTGTGCGTGCTGTCCCCAGGGGTGACGGTTCAGGTGCCATGAGTCACGCACCTTTGGGCACTGCAAGTAGGATATTTATTATTTTATTTTATTTTATTTTTTTGAGATGGAGTCTTGCTCTGTCACCCAGGCTGGAGTGCGGTGACACGATCTCGGCTCACTGCAACCTCTGCCTCCCGGGTTCAAGTGATTCTCCTGCCTCAGCCTCCCAAGTAGCTAGGATTACAAGTGTGTGCTACCATGCCCAGCTAATTTTTTGTATTTTTAGTAGAGATGGGGTTTCACTATGCTGGCCAGGCTGATCTCCAACTCCTGACCTCAAGTGATCCGCCCACCTTGGCCTCCCAAAGTGCTGGAATCACAGGCGTGAGCCACCGCGCCCGGCCGGGATACCTGTTTAGAGAGAAACATTGACCCCAGTGAAATAACCTAAGTCAGTGGATTCTGAAGCCATCTTAATTGTGAGGTGGTTTTGGTGAAGGCTTCACTTTGCTTTTTTGTGATGTGAACCGCTGGGTACGATGGGTTTTCTTGCCGTGAGTTAACATTGACGATCATGTGAGACCCACAGAGCCGGGCGAGGTCATGGTGGGTGCCTTCACATCTGCCATTTAGCTCCTCGGTCCCCTCCTCCCTCCTCTTTTGCAAAGTTTATAGAATGCCATTTTGTGCTATAAACAGAAAAGGTTCACTCTATGGCAGGACTTAGTCCAGCATCATCACACCTCACCTTTCATATGGAGGGGTCTGCGTGGTCACCCTTTTTACATCTGTGACACCTGTGATGACATTCTTAATGAGGGTTTTGGTAACACTGGTGTCTTTTACAGATGACGGAGTTCAGGACGACGATGACAGACTTTATCAAGAGGTAAGATGACGTCTGTGGTGTTTGTTTCATGTTAAATGTGGAAGTCGGTGATCTTTTTTTCATAGTGTGGGAACATTTATGAAATACAAAAGTTTTTTTTCCCAGAAAGTTACGGAGAAACCCCTCATAATCTCCAAATTGAAAAACAGTATAAAGAGAACATACAAAAATTGGTATATTTGGATACGAAATATCTTTTCAAATTATAACCGAATTTATCTATGGTAGACATATGAAAATCATGGTAAATGCAAAGAAGAAAATTAATATTTCCTGGAATTTCCCCCTCGCTTTGCTCATTTGATGCCTCCTGCACGTGCGGATTCCTGAGGGGTTCAGCGCACTCACACCTGGCTGTCCTGTGTGGCATCTAAACTACATTTAAATTGATTAAAATTAAATAAATAAAGGATGCAGTGCCTCGGCTGCACTGGGCTCAGGCCAGCGGCCTGTTAGTTGCATGTGGCTCATGGCCAAGGCACTGGATGCCACAGGCAGAGGACGCTCTGCCATCCCAGAGCCCCCACGGGCAGCGCTGCTCCGGAGGCAGCTGGAAGAAGGGCCCAGTCACAGGTGATGTCCACGTGCTAGACGCTGGCCTTCCCCGTTAAGTCGGTTAGCCTTAGTTTCTCCCCCTTTAAGAACCTTTGGTCATTAATACAAGGCCGAAGGATGAAGAACCGTCCTAAGCAACAGCAGTGACGTTGAGTGGCTCTGGGAAACCCAGTTTTGGGGGTGGAGAAAGAAGAGACTTTGGTTAGTCATTCTCTCCTCAGATTCTCTTAGTGGTTTGTGGTTCTGTGCCTGTTGGCAAGTACAGGAAGAAAATATCAGCAGTTCTTATTTCGAATTTCCATCAGAAATGGTGGGACCTGCTGTCTGAGCTGTGGAGGGAGAAGTGGGGCTGAGAAACACATTTCCTAATTTAGGGAGTCGGGGAGATCCCGCCCTCCCACCTGAGGGGCAGGGAGCGCTCCGGGGGCTGCTGTTAGCCGAAGACTCCCTGACTTTTAGACCACAGAGACTCCCTGACTTTTAGACCACAGCCTTTTCAGCCTCCATGTGTGGAATTTTGATTTAGTTCTGTTTGGGGTATATTTTCAAGCTATTCTGTTTCTCAAAAAAGGGTATGTGAGTGTTGTATTTTCTGACTTCTTATTTATTTAAAAACATCTTTCTTCTCACATGAAACACAATTTGACAATATTATGCCTTTTCCTAGCTCTGTTGAGTGACGTCAACGGCTACGTCCTGTTGTCATTGAGGATCCGAAGTTGAGCAGTGTTTTTATCACACTACTATTTTGTTTAAATTTTTAAAAACACAAAAGGAAAAGTTGTAATTTGTAGCCAAAATGGGAATAATTGCCTCTATAGTCCTTCCTTAATTTTCTTAAAAGTGTGTTTTGGCAAAGTGAGTTGTAAAGCGAATCAGATTTTCCTGTTTCCGTCTAATATAATATTGAGGATATAATTTCATGGTTGGAAAAAACCTGCCAAGTAGACATAAGACTCTTGGCACCACATGCACCAGAAGGTGTCCGAGGGCTGCCTGGCACGTGCCAGCGGCGGGAGCAGCACCGTGTTTCTTAGGAAGCAGTGTGGGGTGCCTGGGAGTGCAGCGCGCCCGGGGGTGGAGATCACGTCTTTGACGGCCCTTCGACCTGAGTTCCAATTCTGGATCTGATAAGCATGACCTTTGTGATCTGGTACCAATAATTTGATATTTAACCTCTGTAAACCCCAGAGTCTACAAATTAAAGGCGAAACTCACCCTTTTTTTATGGGGTTGGAGTAGTAATTAAGTGAGAACCCACACAAAGCAAGTCCGTATCCGACACATAGTCAGCAGAGGTGCCGAGGGGGTCCGAGGGATGGCTCGTCCGGGAAAAGGGGATCCGGCTGGGAGAGCGCTGCCCATGTGGGAACCACAGATGCCTCAGGTATCGTTAGAATCAATTACACATCCCTGTGACGTGCCCACTCGTGGGTTCATCGCTTTGTGCCTCCGTCTCCCCTTCTGTGAACTGGGGTTACTGAGGGTTCCCTGCCCATAGGCTTACGTGAGGACTCAGTGTGTTCATGCATATAACACATTTAGGACAGCGCCATTGTGTGCTGGAAGAGCTCAGTCGATGCAAATTTATTATTATTATTATTATTATTAGATGGTGTTCGTTGCTTCTAGAGGGCTGGGATGGGATCTTGATATCACACAGTTTATTTTTCAAAATATCAGTGCCAAAGACCTACACAGACTCTACAAAATCTGATTCTTCAGAGAGGTGTGTGTGTGTGCATGTGTGTGAGGGGGTTAGAAGGGAGGAGAGAACAGCACGCAATTGATTTGGATACTCAGCACCCTCACACCCCATGCTCACCTAGATGTCATTCTAAATGTAGACTGAACACACTTTGCCTTCCTCCCCCACTCTCCTTCCAGGCTGCCCATGTCATCCCCATGGTGACTCTGTCCCGGGCAGCTGTTGATTGATTGCATGTGTCACCTCAGCATGCCTTTTGCAGATGTCCCTCACAGAATGTCCTCTCTTCCAGGTCCATCGTCTGAGTGCCACACTCGGGGGCCTCCTGCAGGACCACGGGTCTCGACTCTCGCCTGGAGCCCTCCCCTTTGCAAAGCCCCTCAAAATGGAGAGGAAGAAATCCGAGCGCCCTGAGGCTTCCCTGTCTTCAGAAGAGGAGACTGCCGGAGTGGAGAACGTCAAGAGCCAGACGTATTCCAAAGACCTGCTGGGGCAGCAGCCGCATTCGGAGCCCGGGGCAGGCGCGTTTGGGGAGCTCCAAAACCAGATGCCTGGGCCCTCGGAGGAGGAGCAGAGCCTTCCAGCGGGTGCTCAGGAGGCCCTCGGCGACGGCCTGCAATTGGAAGTCAAGCCTTCCGAGGAAGAGGCACGGGGCTACATCGTGACAGACAGAGAGTGAGTAGCAGCCCTGGCTCAGGTCCTGTGTGCCGAGGGAGGGCTGGTCCCAGCAGGCTGGAGGTGGGGTGCCTCCTTGCTGTGGGGGATGCGTATGCTTTTAAGTGTCTTTAACTGAATAATGGGGTGCAGGCATCTCTGGAGTCTCAGGCGCGAGGGCCGCCAGGTGCCTGGCCGGTGGCTCCTCCTGGTGCTTCTGAGCTGGGTTCCAGAGCTTGAGAGCCATTCTCTGAAGTGCATCAAACAAAACCAAACCAAGCACATCCCTTCCTGGGTTCTTGGTCCTGACTGGTTATCTGCAGGCAGCGCCTGTCTGCGGGTCAGAATCACTTTCAGCGGGGGCCAGGAAGGCTGGGGTCTCAGGACAGGCAGGTGTACAGCAAGGCCTGGGCACGGCTGGCACAGGAATGTGGGGTGGGACGCTGCCCCGGAAACTGCTGCGCGCCGGACTCCTGCCTGTTAGGAAGGACTCCAGGTACTTTATCTGTTTTGCACCAAAGTGGCCCAAATATCCTGGTGTGGGCGCCCTTCAGAGGGAAGAAGGAGCTTCACAGCAGCGAGGCTCTTTCCCCACCCTCATGTCGATCTGAACTTAACGAGTCTCAGAATTCAAACATCACGGGCCCGGCAAGGCACAAGTGGCTGGCCCGTTCTCAGGACACCCCGTTAATGCATCCGACATTTGATGCTTTGCTTTGTACAAGTTTTGTGTTTTCTTCCAGTGAAGGAAGTGGTGTTTCAAAGAGAAGGACGTGTCTGCCTGGCTATACACACCCACACATGTGTACGTGTGCGTGTATATGACTGTATGTTGGGTAAATGTGTGCATGTATATGAGTGTGTGTTGGGTAGATGTGTGTGTATCTGTGCGTGTGTATGAGTGTGTATGTGGGGTAGGCGTGTATCTGTGCATACGCATGTGTGTGTATATGAGTGTGTGTTGGGTAGATGTGTATCTGTGTGTGTGTGCGTGTATATGAGTGTATGTTGGGTAAATGTGTATCTGTGCATATGTATATGAGTGTGTGTGTTGGGTAGATGTGTGTGTATCTGTGCATCTGTGTATATGAGTGTATGTTGGGTAGATGTGTGTGTATATGTGCGTATGCATGTGTGTGTATATGAGTGTGTTGGATAGATGTGTGTGTATCTGTGTGTGTGTATATGAGTATATGTTGGGTAAATGTGTATCTGTGCATATGTGCACGTGTGTTTATATGAGTGTGTAGCATAGACGTGTATCTGTGCGTGTGTGTATGTGACTGTGTATGTTGGGTAGACGTGTATCTGTGCATATGCATGTGTGTGTGTATATGAGTGCATGTTGGGTAGATGTGTATCTGTGCGTGTGTGCATATGAGTGTGTGTTGGGTTGTATATAAGTGTTGGGTTGATGTGTATCTGCATATTTGCGTGTGTATGTGTGTATGAGTGTGCATGTCAGGTAGATGTGTATTGGTTTGTGTGTATGTGTGTATGAGTGTGCGTGTCGGGTAGACGTGTATCAGTTTGTGTGTATGTGCGTGTATGTGTGTGTGTGTCGGGTAGATGTGTGTCAGTTTGCGCATATGTGCGTGTGTGTATGAGTGTGCATGTCAGGTAGATGTGTATCGGTTTGTGTGTGTGTGCATGAGTGTGCGTGTCGGGTGGACGTGTGTCGGGGTGTGTGTGCATGAGTGTGTGTCGGGTAGATGTGTGATGTGGATCTGTTCGGGTATTTCTTCCTTGGTGAAGAAGCCCCTCTCGTTTTGAGGATTATTTGCAGCGGAGGTGGGAACTGCCTTACAACTAGAACCCATCTGTTTTGCGGACTCTGCGAGCCTCCCAGTGCTCAGGCTGGTGCTGTGGCTGTGCTGGAGACACCACATTCCATCAGGGAGAATTAGCTGCGTATCATAATTGGGCAGAAATATTTTATCTTGGGCTCAAACCACAGAGTGTGTATCACAGCCAAATTAAAATTTAAGACAATTTTCAGCTGTAAGTGATTATCTTAGTTGTATCTTTAGGTAAGTGGTAAGCAGCGGAAACTTGAAGCTTATGCTAAAATATGGACTCCATTTTCTCAGGACTGCTTTACATAAGTCAGGACGAGCTTTCCCTTTTCCAGGCTCTTTGCTTGGATGTGGCTTCCCACGTGTCTGTCTGTGCCTTTGCTCTCCTGTTTGTAGCGTCAGGAACTTCTCGTGGCTGTTCACTTCTTTGCTCTCAAGCCCAGCGGAGAATCACAGGCAGGCCCTAAGTGATGTGTTCTGAGGCTGCGTGTCTGCACCAGCAGGGCCAAGGGGAGGCGCCTGCCTCAGCACTGCGTGACACAGACCATTATCACGACGCAGACCATTATCACGACTGATTCCTATGGGTGGTCAAATGCCCTGTGCTGTGGATGTCTCCCTCCCTAGGAAACACTGCTGTGTGTGTGGTGTGTCTTATGTGATGTGTGTGTGGTATGTAGTGATGTGTGGTGTGGTATGTGTTGCATGTGTATAGTGTGGTGTAGGTGTGGTATAGTATGTTGCATGGTGTGGTGTGTATTGTATGTGTGTAGTGTGTGGTGTGCTGTGTGGTTTGTGTTGTGTGGTGTGTGGTGTGGTGTGTGGCGTGGTGTGTGGTATGGTGTGTGTTGTATGTGTGTGGTGTGTGTGCATGGTGCACAGTGTGTTGTATATGTGGTATGTGTGACACGTAGTGTGTTGCATGGTATGGTGTGTGGTGTGTGGTGTGCTGTGTGGTTTGTGTTGTGTGTGGTGTGTGGTGTGGTGTGTGTTGTATGTGTGTGGTTTGTGGTATGCTGTGTGGTTTATGTGTTGTGTGTGGTGTGTGGTGTGTGTTGTATGTGTGTGGTTTGTGGTGTGCTGTGTGGTTTGTGTTGTGTGTGGTGTGTGGCGTGGTGTGTGTTGTATGTGTGTGGTGTGTGTGCATGGTGCACAGTGTGTTGTATATGTGGTATGCATGACACGTAGTGTGTTGCATGGTGTGGTGTGCGGTATGTTGTGTGTGTGTGTTTGGTTGCCTGTGTCTCCTCACCCTGTGCTGGAGCCCTCTTTTCTCCCGGAGGCCCCCACGTTGTGTTTGTGGACACTGCGTGGTTCCCTGCAGGTGTCCTGGGGACTTGACCCACCGTTGCCGGGGGACGGCTGGGGTAGGAGAGTGCCCCAGAGAACCATGTGATCCGGTCATTTTAAGGGCTTTCCACATGGGCACCGAGGGGTTCACCCAGACAGCGGGAGGCTGGTGTGGTTTCCTAGGGAACCTGCAGAGCCGACAGTCCTGTGCCATTCCTGCTCGTGGGCTCACCCTGGAGGGAAGGACAGCAGGGGCCTTGTCCGCAGCAGCCTCGCACTTTCTGGGGAAGGAGACCCATCACAACGGGTCATTTCCTGTCTGCACTCGCGACTTTCCAGTAGAAAAAAGCTAGGGTTTTTCTTTGCATTGGAGTTTATTTTCTTGTAGTGGGTTTGCCGGCCATGCTTTGGGACTGGAATATTTACCTCCTACAAGCAATGGGTTAAAGAAAAAAAAACCATCATGTTATCTTGGCTGACTCTTCCTTTGCGACTTCAATTGGTTGGAAGCTATCTGGTGAAGACAGCACAGCTTTTTGTCAGCAATTTGTGCCGCTGGGGCAAGGTGCACTGCACGAGGTGAGGTCTCCGTGAGGTCCCCTCTCTTCTTGCAAAGAGATTGAGGTTTTTGCCCTATTATCAGACTAATAATTTGTGATTCTCTTGGGCAGGTTTTCACCAGATTTCAGCTTAAACCTGGACAGATCAGCTATTAATTTCTAAGACGCAGATGGCATTCTTTAAAAAAGGGGGACTTTTGTGGTTTTGGTTGTCCCACGGAAAGGAGAGGAATGTGGTTGAGAACTCGGTGTCACCTCAGCACCCACATGCTCTTCGTGCTGAGGTTCAGGTGGGAGGATGGTAGGGCTCAGCTTTTCCAGGCATGATTTTCTCTCTCCCATTTTCTGATGGACAGAGTAATCCTTTGCCATTTACATTTTTATCCTTTTTACAAACTAAAGGGAGTCTTGAAGACTGGACGAAGGGCAGGACAGCCGCCCCAGTCCTCCAAGGACAACTTTAAAAAGATTTCATGTTAGGCTTCCAGGAGGAATCACAGGACGGACACCAGGTGTAGGGAGGAGGGAGCCCCTTACCTCTCAGCAAAGAGGAACCTGCCTTCTGAATCCAGAGACAAGAGCTTCAGAGACCAGAGCTCATGTGCACACGACTCCCTCTGCCTACCCCAGACCCCTTTGGATTGGGATGTATTCTGTGGAACGACCACGCTGAGCCAGTGAGGTGAATTTTGGGGGAGTGAAACCTGTAGTCAGGAAAACATGGGGGCTGAGGCAGAGGCTTGAGTCTGGGGTGGCGGCCACAGTGCTGCTGGAGAAGGTGGCCTGGGCCCTTGACCCACAGAAGTCCGGTCAGTGGGTCCGTGGCAGCCCTGAGACCTGGAATGTGGCAGATGCCCCTGTGCTTGGGTTTCCTGGTCTCTGGAGTGGCAGCTGCGGTGTGTGGCTCCTGGGCCGTGGGGAGAAGAACTTGGCACAGGCAGAGCAGAGCCCGGGGTGCGTGCAGAGGAGAACGCAGGGCACACGCAGAGCAGGGCCCAGGTGCCCGGATGAGCAGCCTCTGTCAGCAGTGGGAAGAACACAGTGTTGCTTGAAAGAGGAGGGGCCGATAGATTTCCACGAGGGGAAGCTGGAGAGGTTGGAGCTCTGAGTCTTGCGGGGACGCTGGCTGAGGGAAGAATGTGCAAAAAGTGGCATGGGGCACCGCTGACCTCTCCGATGCCTCTCGGCACTCCGAAGGGAGACAGATGCAGCTGAAATGTTTCTTCCTTCAAGTTTTCCTTATGACACAACTTCCTTGCACCTCGGAGAAGCCAAGCAGCAAAATGGCAGATGGTGCCGGGCCACCGTTAGGGGCTGCCGCGTGGGGGTTCTGTGGGGGTTCAGTTGGAATGTGGAATTCAGAGAGGCCAGCGAA